GGTGCGCGCGCGCCGCCGAGCGCTGGCAGGTGCGGCTGGGTCGAGCAGCCCGCGCCAGGCGCTGGGGCACAGCGGAGGCGGGGCTCGCAGCTTGCGTGAGCGTGCTGGGTCGGCAAAGGAGCGCTTGGCGCGACACCACCGATGGGCGAGATCGGCACCAGCTCTATCCACCTCTTTTCAAGCTGCACCTGACACGTCCTCTTGTTTATAAGTGGTGGCAATTATTACGAGTGATAGATTCAAGAGATGCTTATTCTTTACAGCAAGGTGTGGTATACAAATGCAGGAGGCCAGCAGCAGACAGCAGGGTGGTACGCCGCACGCGCGGGTTTCAATCAGCAGCTGGTGAGCAGCCACATAAATGGCTGTCTCATGTGTATTGTTTGAGAATTGTCAAAACTTTCTGTGTGCTGCAAAGCGTCAAAAAGGTACGGCGCTGCGGCTGCACGCGTGCCGCGGGCCTCGTCACACTGGCTGGGGCTGCTGCATCGAAACACCTGCCACAGCTCCATAGGCGACAGGGAGCAATCAAGGCCATCGAGAAATTCCCAGCCATCAGGCTGGGTCTATCTACCAAAAAATCTGGAACCCAAACAATTAGACTGGTGGTGGGCCTTCAAAGGCGCCACCTGATATGCCACATGGCATGTGTGGACGGTGATATCACCGCCGCGATCCGCCCACACCGCGTTGCAACGCGTCGCGCGCTGCATGGCGCCGGGGCTATGCCGTTTTGCGGAGTTCTTCCAAGATTGGCCCTGAGAAAGGCGGCGCCGGGGGGCTGGCAAGCTGACCTGCCAGTACGCCGGCGTGGCATCGGCGCTGCCGAACGTGATGCGGCGCGCGCGTCTTCCCACCACGCAGCACCACCATCTCAAAACTGGCGCTGTCGCTAGCAGCCTCGACAAAATCAGAGCGAGCGTCGTCGGCTCTCAGACGCCGACCAGCTTGCCGCGCCCGGTGCGCGACGGCGGGCGCTCGCCGTCGCTCCTGTCGCTAGCCGCTGCGGGCGCCGCTGCCGCCGCGGGGGCGGCGCCCCTGTCGGTGTGGCCGCCGCGGGCGAGGGCCTGCTGCTGCGCCTTTTGCCAAGCGAGCATCTTATTGAGGCCGGCCACGTACGCCCTGGCGGAAGAGATGACAATGTCCACATCAGTGCCCTGGCCTGTTGGTGATGGGAGATGGTGTTAAGACCCCAGATTAAGGGGCGAGAGATGGGGGGGAGTCAGGGTGGCGCGAGGGGGTTAAAGATGGGCGGCAACAGGGACCATGCTTTCTGGAATGGGAGTGGGGGTGTGGCAGAGTCAATTGCAGGGCTGCGACGCCGCCACGGCGGGACCAACATGGTCACAAGAGGACCAGAGGACGCGCGCTATCTCAGGTCCTCTGGGCGAGGGAGGGCTGGCAGGCGCCGACCGCACGCGAACCGCCGGGGCCGGCCCGGCCAGGCGTCGTCGCACCCGCGAAGACGCGCCCGGCGCTGCCGGCCCTGGCCCAGTGGCCGATGTCGCAGTCCATCGATGACGTCACGTCGCGCGCGGCGCCCGGGGGCCTGCGGCATTGGGAGGGGCGCGAGCGCGCGGATCGATAACTGGATGCAACAAAACAACAAGGCTTCAGGAGTGCAACGATAGGGACGCCGCTTGGATGCGTGTGGGCTTTGGTGGTTGCAACGCTGCGGCGCAGCTGCGCGGGATGGCGCTGTGGGGGCCGGCTCAAGCCGCGAGCCTGGGAGCGATAAAGCATCTGAACCATCCCAGGCCCAGCCGCAGCTGGTGACGCAAAGCGCCACCCTCTCTCTGCGTCGGTTGCGAGCACAAGCCCAGCCAAAAGGGGAGGGAACATGGATGTCATGTGATGCAAGGCTCGGGGGCCGCCCTACCTGATGGTGATGTGCGTCGTGACGAGCGCGTCGATGCCCTCCGTGACGCTCTGCACGCTGTAATCGATGAGGGTAGCCTCCGCGTGCATGAGCGCGTCGATTGCCTTGTAGGCGGCGGCGACGGGGCCTGGTCGCAGGGTGGGGACGGTTGCGGTGGTTGGTCCATGGCTGAAGTGCGTGTGTGTGTGTGCGTTATGTGATGTGTGTGTGTGTGTGTGTGTGTGTGTGTGTGTGTGTGTGTGTGTGTGTGTGTGTGTGCAAACGAGCTCGCCCTCACAAGCATGCGCAGGTGCTAGCATTGGGCATTTCGGGCATGCCAAACTTTGAAATTGTGACACCATGTCACGACTATTGTTTGCTTTGAGCTTGCAATGCGGCGTCCGCCGCATGGCCTCACCCGGGCCGCGGCCGATCTCAGAGTACGTGATGCCGTCCGGGCCGTTCATCTTCACGAGGCACGTTTTGGTGCCGTCGCGGCCGCGGACCACCTGGGAGCAGGCGGGCCGGGAAGACAGTGGCTCCTCCGTCAGGTCTGGCCTGGAGGGCGATAGGACTGGCATTCTTGCAGGCGCGCTGCCGTGGTCCACGCTTCGGCGGGCGAATCCCGCTGCTCGTCCCTTGGCGCGGCCTCAACTCATGGAAGCCGCGGGCACATGCCGCAGCCGCAATCGCTGGCCAGCAAAGCAACACACTGAAGTCAATTTTAAATCCGCCACGAGGCCCCGTTTAGCCACCTGCAGGTCCACGAGCTCCCAGCCCTGCGCGGCCGACGCTGACGTGGCCTCGTCCCCCGCCAGCGCCAGCAGGTCGTCGTCAGTGATGACCTTCTTGCCGTCAGCCAGGGCCTGGGGGGGGGGGGAGCAGCCCGCACGCGCTGAATCAGATTACTCCATTTCGTTGAGGTTCACGGTATGTGACAACGGAGTTGGTGGACAGGGGTTTCGCAGCCGTGATCCGCGCAATTCGATCACGCCAAAACCAATGTTGCCCCTCAAGAACGCACACGCAGCTCCCATGCACACACACAAACACATACACAAACAGCGTGCAAACAATTACATGCATTCAACTCCACAAGCGCGCAGCCACACAAGCGCTTACACACACGCGTGCACGCGCGTGTGCGCACACACACACACACACACACACACGGAACAGGTCAAACACCCAACGGCTGTCCCCACCTTGAACCTCTTGAAGAGGTCGTCCAGCTCCTGCTGAGTCAGCGTGAACCCCAGGCCCTTCATGTGCGCCGACAGCGCGTGGCGGCCGCTGTGCTTGCCCAGCACGATGCCTGGTGGGGTTGGCGTCGCGATACACCATTGGAAAGAGGGCAGGATATCGATAAACACTATGCCGCAAGCATTGGATTTGGCAGATAGGCGGCTGGGCCGCCGGCGCATGCTCAAAGGAGCAATGTGCTTGCTGGATGGTGCCTGGAGGTTGGTTCCACGCGATTGCGGCGGGGGTTTATTGCAAACTTTTCTCCACGTGCACGTTGGCCGAAAGCGCCGCTGGTGGCTCATATGGGGGACACCCGTGCTCCTGCAACGCCCTTGCAAACAGCCCGAAACGGCTGCGCGCATGGTGGCATGCGGCGCACCTGCGTCCTCGCCCTTGGGCTGCAGGCCGATGGTTTCAGGTGTCATGATCTGGTACGTCTCCCTGGGGGCGGGGTGTGTGTGTGTATGTGTGTGTGTGTTGAGGCATGGTGGGTGGCGGCAGAAAGACGCAAGGGCGTGGGCGTTGGTGAACCGAGGGAGTCTGAGGTTAGGGGCCGGAGGGGGGTCGCAAAGGAATGGGGCAAATCAGAGCAGACAGGAGGGGTTTGGTCCCACAGGTGAAGGGCCGTCGAAGTCGCGGCTGTCCCCACAGCTGACAGCACACGGCAGGGCGGGCTCGGCCTGCGTGGGTGTTGCGACGCCCACCACCCTGCCCGTCCCACCGCCCCACCAAGTCGATTGTCGCGACAGGCGCGAACCCCTCACCTGTGCTTGAGCATGCCGTCCTGGTGCATGCCGCTCTCGTGGCTGAACGCGTTGGCCCCCACGATGGCCTTGTTGGGCTGGATGACCATGCCGCTGTACTTGGACACCATCTGGCTGGTGGGGTACAGGTGGACAGGGCGGATGCCGGTCCACAGTCCGCCCATTTGGTCCCTGGGGGGGCGGGGGTTGAGGGGG